CCCCCCACACTGCCTGCACTCTGCACAACAAACAGCCTCAACCCACCTACCCCCCACCCAAACCTGACCACCACAACAGAAACCACAAACAGGTCCCAATAACCAGACCCCACCAAGCGACGCATTGGGCATTATTGGGCAGGACGGTGAAAGTGTTCGTTCCAGATCCACCATGACTTGAGAAACCAAGTGGAATAAAGCCATCTAGATCCCACTTCCCAAGCCCCAACACTGCAGTGCACTGGACTGCCTCTTGAGTTATATTTCGACATGAACCCTGGTGACATCATTGTAGGGAAAACAAACACGCATACTAGTGGATTACACCATGGACCAACCCAATTACTCACCAAACTCATCCCCCATTTACCATATATATATGACGGAGACAACTGTGGCAGAGACATTACCATAAATACTGCCCATCTCATGAACCCCCCCCCCCCCACCCCCCTTATGCACATGTGTCATAAGCCCACTGTCACCACAATGAGGGCAACAGAACCTGATTCAACTCTCCAGGGTTTAGTGAATTATAGGTGTCATCGTTTCCAGTATACTGTTAGTAAGTGAAAACCCCCCTTTTCAGACAATACAGGCTGACAGAAACCGCTAAGGAAATGCCCAGCCCACCCCCTCAATGTGTCTCCCTATGCCCCTCAAACACAACCGCTGCTGATGTATTTTTATCCCTCGCAGGAAGCTTTGTTATTGTGATGAGCTCCTTGATTTTATTCAAACGAAGACTCTCATTCAAGGGCAATATATACCTCAAGACACGAGGAACGCCACTTTGGTGTACGCCCTATTTGTACTGCTGTGACTAGCAGAAAGTTGGACTCGTTTTTGGATACATATGTGTACAATGGCAATTTACTTTGAGAATCGCTCACATGAAGTTATTGGGTATCTCTGGGGAAGTGGTTCGAACAAATGATGGAACCATATCTTGGTATGGGGCATATGTTATTTACGATAACTGGAACAAGCCCTTACTCAGGGATTTCTTGCGAGGGAATTGACAGACGTGTGTGGCAAAGTTGCGTGGTAATCGTAAAATCATATGCCAAGGTTCGACGTGGCACTCGCAGAGGTGTGGCGCGCAAGTGGAGTGCCCCTTTGCTGCCATGACATCATGGCATTTCGGGTTGGCTCATTTTGTCAAACGTGATGTCACATTGATGACTTCAGTTACAGAAACGAATTGGTACCCAGTGGCAAGGGAATTCCAGAGAGAAACAATGAACCATCTAACAGCCTGCAGCTTGTCATGGACTACAACCTCAATATGGCTTAGTGGACAAATGTGACATGCAGATTGTGGTTTGCAGTACTGTGTACGCAGAGTATAAGAGGTTATATAAAACTTTTTCTTCCATCTTCGTGATATTCTATGCTAAATGCTTAATAACAATACAAGTTGAAGATCAAACAAAACACAAAATATGGTGAATTTTGCCTGTCAGTAATCTGACAAAGAATGCAAAGTACCATGGGAGCAACTCCTGAAATAGACCGCGCCCACACACGTCATCTCGTTCAGGCCTGGTATCACTACCCATACAACGAGCTCCTACTACTGCAAGAAAAATGTCAGAAGAGGGGGGTGGGTTGTTATGTATGTATGCATACCACAAAACGCCCACAAACACGCAGAGGACACTCGTTTTTGTGTGAGGAGTGTGTAGTGCCCCTCTGCATATACCCCATGTTTCAAAGAGTTCCACAAGCTGCAGCAGTTCTTGGGAACATGTTTAGTGACTGTACTTATGTATATATATTATGGAACATTAGTAATAAACTTTGTTTTGTATTGTTTTGTTTGTGTAAACCACAAGGTGTATTACACAAACTAATAGTGATAAAGTTTGTTCTGTTGTGTTTGTAAACAGTGAGTGTATATTGTGAAACAATGCACCTTTTTACATTGGTTTCAAAAGGCCACGTAAGTTACCTGGAACAGAAAAGTAAATGTATTGAAAAATGCAAGAAATCTTTGAATTAGAGTAAAATAAAAGAATTTCGGTACGGTGGGCGGCAGTCGCAGATGTTGCCCGTATACGCATATCACTTTCTGCAAACTTTGCGGTCTATATCTCGGTAAGTACTGGATGGCAAAAAATTTTTTTAGGCTTAATAATGGCTGCCGAGGAAAACAATATGAGTTCAACGATGATGTAAATTTTTCATTACTCAGATATGGTAAACACGAGGAAATTAAATCTTTCATAAGCGTACAAAACAAATTTGGCCACAAAATAGAGCGTAACTCCAAAGACAAAGGACCTGGGATGTGATCTTGTTCGGAGGATCTCACTCTTCAAGGACCATAACTTTGTATCAATCGAATCTGCTAGAAAAATGACAGGATGGGATAATGAGACCTTCAAAAACTAGGGATGCCACCCATGATGAAACTCTTCAGGTCACTTGTTCTATCTATTTGCTGTGGAATATTGCTGTACACTAACAAGGACACACACGCGCGCACTTGGGGGCATGTGAACATTGCTGACCTAGAAAATGTACAGAGAACCTTCAACGGCGGCATAACGTAGATAAACACTCAAATTTACTGGGAGGCTTGAGTGTTCCTGAACCTTGTATTCCCTGGAACGCAGCGGCGGGAGAGATACATGATTACGCTCTTTTACACCTGGAAAATCCTAGAGGGACTAGTACCAAACTTTGCACAAGTAAAATCACTCACTAAGGAAAGCAAAAGACATGGCAGACGTTTGCAACATCCCCCAATATAAGCAGGGGGTCACTAGCACGTTTAAGAGACCATACTATAAGGGTCTGGGGCCCAAGACTGTTTAACTGCCTCCCAGCATACATAAGGGGGATTACCAACAGACCCTGGCAGTCTTCAAGCTGGCACTGGACAAGCACCCTAAAGTCGGTTCCTGATCAGCCGGGCTGTGGCTTGTACGTTGGTTTGCGTGCAGCCAGCAGTAACAGCATGGTTGATCAGGCTCTGATCCACCAGGAGGCCTGGTCACAGACTGGGCCGCGGGGGCGTTGACCCCCGGAACTCTCTCCAGGTAAACTCCAGGTAAAACACTCACAAAAATATTCCTAACATTTTCATAAGAAAAAATAATTTTTTTTTTTCGAATATTTGGCGACATAGAATGACAGTTTCAGAGAGGGGCCTGAAACAGTCAAAGGGTTAATCTTGTCCCCCAGGATGCGACCCACACCAGTCGACTAACACCCAGGTACCTATTTGCTGCTAGGTGAACAGGACAACAGGTGTAAGGAAACATGTCGAAATGTTTCCACCCGCCGGGAATCAAACCCGGGCCCTCCGTGTGTGAAGCGGGAGCTTTAGCCTCCAGGCCACCGGGCCACCAAGTATCAAGTAGATTCCACCAATAGTATCAAAATAGATAGAGGATCAGTGGCAGCTTGTGTATAGGCACTGCGGAACTGCAGCACCCCCTATTGTCACTCGATATTATTGATAATATTCAAACCATACCACGGGCGGGATTGAACCCGCGGTCAGGGAGTCTCAAAACTCCATACCTGCCCGTGGTATGGTTTGTTTGCAATCGTGTCGTTACGATTTCGTGAGTCATGTTGAGGCCTGGTCACAGACCGGGCCGCGGGGGCGTTGACCCCCGAAACTCTCTCCAGGTAATATTCAATATAATGAGTCTTTTTTTTTTTTAATTCTTTCTTTATACTTGTACATTATATAATCCTTAAGCTTAATGTCAGTAGCCATCCCCTAGTACATACAAAAGTTACAAAAATCCTTGTATGGAACTGTGTGCAACACAGCAACACCTCCACAAATTTTAGCTACGAGCCATCACTGTAGAGGAGAGGTGTCATATTGAAAATAACATCACCTGAGGTGCACCTGCATCAAGGGCCCACAGGAGGCATCCTCTCCAAGATAATGTTACTATGTACTACCTCAAACAACACTACTTACACTATACCAATCTCTAATCTACCCTTCCCTCACCTATGGCATTTGTGCCCAACATCATAATAATACTATTTTTATTTCTACAAGTACATATACAAGGTGTCCAGGCCTAGCTGACATCAATGACATACTACTATATACAGAAAGCCACTTGTTATGCAGAGCATTCTGGGCAAATTAAGTCAATTTTGTCCCAGGATGCAACCTACACCAGTCAACTAACACATAGGTACCCATTTTACTGATGGGTTAACATAGGCAACTGGTGTAAGGAAACATGCCCAATATTTTCACCCTATGCTGGGAATCAAACCTGGACTCTCACCATGTGAAGCAAGAGTTACTGCCACTAGGTCACAGGCCACCGTGTTGACTATCACTATGTGTCTAATTTATGCACCACATGCTAGTGGCTTTCTTTTGTGACTAACAATATTTTATTACATGTGAACTACATTATATGTATACTGCATTAAAGAAATAAAAGTATTTGTACTCAAACTGGCAAGCAATAAGAACATTATGTTTAGTTATGTATGAGTACAGTTGCTTGTAGATCACCTTTGATACCTTTGCCTTTACCTTCCAATGTCAAATAGGTAATGATAATATTCATGGAGCTTTTTTGTAGATAGGGGTCTTTTTCTATTGTACTAGATGAATTTTCAAGTGATTTAATGATAGAGGCTAATTCAAAGGTTGCGGCAGGAGCCACATAAGACTATGTAATTATCGGCCAGATAGCTACCTATGTTGGTATGGGCCTCTTGGGTGTTGTTTGCAAGATAAGTCTCAAGTGGAGATGAAATTGTTAAACTTATGTACAGTACTGAATCAGTATTACCATTTCAAATTTCTTTGCCTTAAGATTAATTCCTACTGATTATTTATTCCCATCCTACCACCATTCCATATTTATCTGTCTGTAGACTATACTACTAAGTACATTTGTTATAAACCCACAAAGGGTTCAGTGATCTGCTGAGAATTTAAAAAATGATTTGGTCAAACATGAGTGAACGAGCTCTAACTCACCTCTGCTTACAATACTCACATGCATTCACTGTGTCTGATATAACTCTCAAAAGTCTGGTATTCTTATCCAGCTCTTGAAAATTAGCATCCATAGTTTGTTGGAAGTTGTGCATGCCTCTTCCTCTTCCTCGACCACGACCTCTGCCATAACCTCTGCCACTGCCTCTATCACACATTGTGCCTTATGTAACTACTTGCCACCTGTGGGAAGACACACAGTAGTATTGTACTCTGCACTAATAAATCTATTGTACCTCACCTAGCTTCTACAATAAGGTTTCTATCTCACTTTTCAAACAGAGGATAAGTCCCTCTGTCTGACTTTTTTGGGTTATCCTAGGTTCTCTACACATATGCTGCTATGTATGATAATTCTATGTAACTGTATTGTGTATACCTGAATAAATTTACTTACTTACTTACTTACTTACTTATATAAGGACTAAGGATTGAGCTTCCTAATTACTCCTGGCAGAGCTAATTAATAAATAACACTAATGGCTAATTATAGTTTTTCACCATTTAGCCAAATTCTTATCTCGCTCACCAGTAATCTTACTAATAATCTTGCTAATAATTAAAACTTCATCAGACTACAAAACAATTTCCGGCCACAAAATAGAGCGAAAAACCAACATCAAAGACCTGAGAGTGATCATGTCGGAGGATCTCACCTTCAAGGACCATAACATTGTATCAATCGCATCTGCTAGAAAAATGACAGGCCCATGATGACACTCTTCAGGTCGCTTGTTCTATCTAGGCTGGAATATTGCTGCATACTAACAGCACCTTTCAAGGCAGGTGAAACTGCTGACCTAGAAAATGTACAGAGAACCTACACGGCACGCATAACGGAGATAAAACACCTCAATTACTGGGAGTGCTTGAAGTTCCTGAACCTGTTCTCCCTGGAATGCAGGCAGGAGAGATACATGATTATATACACCTGGAAAATCCTAGAGGGACTAGTACCGAACTTGCACACAAAAATCACTCGCAACGAAAGCAAAAGACTCGGCAGACGATGCAACATCCCCCCAATGAAAAGCAGGGGTGTCACTAGCAAGTTAAGAGACAATATAATAAGTGTCAGGGGCCCCAAGACTGTTCAACTGCCTCCCAGCATATATAAGGGGGATTACCAATAGACCCCTGGCTGTCTTCAAGCAGGCACTGGACAAGCACCTAAAGTCGGTACCTGACCAGCCGGGCTGTGGCTTGTACGTTGGATTGCGTGCAGCCAGCAGTAACAGCCTGGTTGACCAGGCTCTGATCCACCATGAGGCCTAGTCACAGACCGGGCCGCCGGGGCGTTGACCCCCGGAACTCTCTCCAGGTAAACTCACCAGTAATCTTACTAGTAATCTCACTCACCAGCAATTTTACTAATAATCTTGCTCACCAGTAAACTTACTAATAATCTTGCTCACCAGTAATCTTACTAAAAACCTTACTAAAAATCTCACCAAAAATCTTACTAATAATCTCGCTCACAAGTAAACTTACTAATAATCTCGCTCACCAGTAATCTTACTAATAATCTCGCTCACCAGTAATCTTACTAATAATCTCGCCCATCAATAATCTTACTAATAATCTCTCTCACCAGTAATCTTACTAATAATCTCACTTACCAGTAATCTTACTAATTATCTTGCTCACCAGTAAGCTTACTAATTATCTTGCTCACCAGTATACTAATTATTTTGCTCACCAGTAATCTTACTAATAATCTCACTCACCAGTAATCTTACTAATTATCTTGCTCACCAGTAATCTTACCAATAATTTTGCTCACCAATAATCTTACCCATAATTGAAATAAGCCATGCAGGGTGGCTTCACTGGGTTACCTTACACTATTAACATTCTGCTTAATATAATCTTGAAAGTATTTATGTACACCACCACCACCTTACAAATACCTAGCAAGTTTATTTAGGTACAGGTCCGCATTAAGTACAATTACCCTACCAAGTAATACATGTTAATTACCTAGGTAACCCCCCCCCCAAAAAAAAAAAAAAATAAAGAAAGTACTTTTTTCCAGTGGGTCCTCGGTAAGCAAGGCGTTAGAATTAGGGGGGATATAATTAAGGTGTATAAATGGAAAACAGGAATAAATCAAGAATGTAAATAGCATGCTAAAAGTATCTAGCCAAGACAGGACTCGCAGCAATGGTTTTCAAATTCAGATTCAGGAAAGCAATGGTTTGGTAACAGAGTTGTGGAGGAGTGGAACAAACTCCCAAGTCCTCAAAAAAGTAAAACTTGTATTTTTAAAAATAGGTTGAAAAAATACATGAGTGGGTGGGGTTTGGGCCTGCTAGCTTGGCTAAAGGTCAGATCCGGCTCCTTCCTCAAGTGGATGTGCCCGGACCTGACGGTTGCGTCAGGGAAACCTGCCTCGATGGGCAGTAGGCCTGCTGCAGTTTTTTTTTTTGTCCTTATTTACGTATAGGCACATAAGTACATTTATCATACTATGTAAATAATAATAAATAAAAAATTTTTTTAGTAAAAGTAAAGGTATACAGACTTAGCTGACACAAGGGGACTTATTATTATATAGAAAGCCCTTGTTATCCCGACATTTGGGAAAAAATTGGGTTTAGTTTTGTCCCGGATGCGACCCACACCTGTCGCCTAAAACCGGTTCCCTTTTTTTATGATGGGTGAACTTGGACAAGTGGTGTCTTGGGGGAAACACGTCCTTAAATTTTTATCCACCCTCCCGGAGTTTCGAACTCCGGGATCTGAGTGTTGGCCGGTGCTCTACGATTCAAGTTTCGGAACCCCTTTGGGAAAATAGGTTATTGAGACACGGGACACATGTAAATTTCATCATGGGGAAAATTACCTAGGAAAACCCCAAAAAAAAGTTATTGTTATATTATTTTCCGGGGTCTAGGGGCCCCTGGTGTAAACTAAGTTTGCCATTTTACAAAGTTTCCACGAGTTAATAAAGTAATATAATGGCATATATTGCCCCACCTTCCCTCCAGCAGGTATATAAGCCCCCCTACACCAGCCCCACAGCAATGCGGAAATAGTCTTTCCCAGCGGGGGAAGATAAAAATATGGAGTGTAGTGGGGTGGAGTGAACTGCGTGCCCCCCTGACTCCTTTCCCAGTCTCTCACTTGTAACTTTAGCAATTCTCTCTCTCTCCTTTCTCTCTCTTCTCTCTCTCTCTCTCTCTCTCTCTCTCTCTCTTTTCTCTCTTTTTCTCTCTTCTCTCTCTCTCCCCTTCTCTCTTTTCTCTCTCTCTCTTCTCTCTCTTCTCTCTCTCTCTCTTCTTCTCCCCCTCTCTCTCTCTCTCTCTCTTTTTCTCTCTCTCTCCCCTCTCTTCTCTCTCTCTCTCTCTCTTTTCTCTCTTCTCTCCCCTCTCTTCTCTCTCTCTGCAATTACTGTGGGAAACTGGGGGGTAATTTAATATTGTGGCAAGGTGGGGAAGTTTTTTAGGCACTGGTATACATAACTTCAATTATTTTAATTTTAAACTTCTTTGGGTTATCCTAGGTAATTTACACAATGTTATATGATGAAAATTTTGGTTTTGTATTTTTACCTTGCCAAAAAATAAATTCTTACCAGGAAAACAAAAAAAGTCAAAGTGATTATTTCCATTGGGGGTCCTAGATTTTTCTTTTGGGATCCTAGACATTTCCTTGGGGTTTAGACTTTTCCTTTTGGGGTCCTAGAATTTCCTTTTGGGTCCTAGACTTTTCCTTTGGGGGTCCAAGACATTTCCATTGGGGGTCCTAGACATTTCCAGGGGGGCCCTAGACATTTCCAGGGGGTCCTAGACTTTTTCCTTTGGGGGGCCCTAGACTTTTCCCTTTGGGGGCCCTAGACTTTTTCCTTGGGGTCTAGACTTTTCCATTGGGGTCCTACACATTTCCATTGGGGTCCTAGACATTTCCATTGGGGTCTTAGACATTTCCATTGGGGTCCTAGACATTTCCATTGGGGTCCTAGACATTTCCATTGGGGTCCTAGACATTTCCATTGGGGTCCTAGACATTTCCATTGGGGTCCTAGACATTTCCATTGGGGTCCTAGACATTTTCCATTGGGGCCCTGATTTTTCCCTTGGGGGTAAGGAAGTTATTTAAGTTCATTTTCATAACTGTTGCGAAAATTTTTGATTATTACGTCATCACATTAACATGTGTAAAATTACCTTCCCCCCCAAAAAAAGTCAAAGTGACTTATTTAATTGGGCCCTTTGAAACTTGTTTCCCACGTTTCTTTTTTATTGAAAAATTGTAAAAAAACCGCTATTTGAAGAATAAGAGCATGTGCAACTTTTGGGTTCTTCATTACCTGGGTTTACCGGGGAGAGAGTTTCGGGGTCAATGCCCCCCGGCCGGTCTGTGACCGGCCTCCCGGGGGATCAGCGCCTATAACCGGTGTTGCTGGGCGACGCAAACCAAAAGTTGAGCCACAGGGCCCGGGTGATCGGGGAATGACTTTAGGTGTTGTCCAGTGCCCCGCTTGAAAATGCAGGGGGGCTGTTTGGGAATCCCCCTTTTGTGTGTGGGAGGCTTTAACGTCCGGGCCCCCGACACTTATTGTAGGTCTTTAACGTGCAGGACCCCCGCTTTTCATTGGGGGGGGTGGGGCATCGTTTCCAAGTCTTTTGCTTTCGTAGTGGTGATTTTTGTGTGCAAATTCGGTACGTCCCCCTAGGGTTTTTCCCGGGGTATTTCATGTATCTCTCCCTTCTGCGTTCCAGGGGTACGGGTTTTGAAACCCCAAGCGCTCCCAGAATTGAGGGGTTTTATTCCGTTTATGCGCGCCCTGAAAATTCTCTGTACATTTTCTAGGTGGGAATTTTACCTGCCTTGAAAAGGGGCTGTTGAGTGCAGCAATATTCCAGCCCGATAGAACAAGTGACCTGAAAAAGTGTCATCATGGGCTTGGCCCCCCCTAGTTTTTAAGGGTTTTCATTTCCTTGTCATTTTTCAGCAGATGCGATTTATACAATGTTATGGTCCTTGAAGGGGAGATCCTCCGACTAATCACTCCCAGGTCTTTGACGTTGGTTTTCGCTCTATTTTGTGGCCAGAATTTTTTTTGTACTCTGATGAAGATTTAATTTCCTCATGTTTACCATATCTGGTAATTGAAAATTTTCTCGTTGAACTTTTATATTGTTTTCTGCACCCACGGGAAAAATTTTGGTTGATGTCCCCCGGGGCCTTGCAGTGTCTGCAAAGGAAGACACTGTATGCGATTCGGGTGTATCTGCAAAGGGAAAACACGGTGCTGTGGCTGACATCCTGTCTATGTCGGTATGAGGATGAGGAACAAAATGGGAGTATATTGCCTTGTGGAACAGAGCTTTTTACCGTAGCTGCCTCGGACTTTACTCTGTTTTGGGCTCTCTCTGTGTTCGTTATGAGGAATTATAGACCATCACCGACTTTTCCTGTTATTTCCTTTTTGCGGCTTTTGTGCGCTTTTACCCATGGCCACTTGCGAAGGCTTTTGCAAAGTCTGTATATATTTCATCTGCTTCTTTTTGTCTTCTGTGCATTTAGGGCCTTGTGTAGTGATCCGTAGTTGAGACAGACAGGAGCGACCTGTTTAAACCCCTGTTCCCCGGGTTTGTAACTGAGGGTTTTAGTGGGTGGTGATCTTGCTTTTGGACCCCCTTTTAAAGATTTTATTTTTATGGGAGTTAGTGCTATTGGTCTGTAGTTTTTGCGTTGATTTTTGCCCCCTTTGTGGGGTGGGGTAGTCTGTTGTTTTTGTAACTGAGGGGGCGACCCCGTGTCCATGTCCCCCCTCCATAGGGGGAAAAAAGGGTCGGATAGGGGCTTCTTTCAGTTTTTGATGAAAACAGAGTTCCATGACGGCCCTGGGCAGAGTGCTGGGCATGTCATTTATCGCCTTTCGAAGTCATTTGGCGCGGTAACATCGGGTAGGCTTTTGTTTTCAAATTTTTTGGGTCTCTCATAAAAAAAATCTTTTGATCTTCGACTCTCATCTGGTTGCGGCTTGCTAAAAAAATGAGTCTATTGGGGGCTTGAGTTGCTCCCCCCATTTCTTTCTGTCATTGTGTAGGACCCTCTTGTTTAAGTAGGGGCCCAATCTGGGCTTGTTTTTCCCATTTTGATTTTTAAGGAGAAGAAAAACTTTGGGTTTTTTTCGATTTCATTTAGCTTTTGTTCTTCCCCGATTCCTGACCTAAAGGATTTTTTTGCTTAAGTTCGTGCTTGCATTTCTTGCCGGTCTCCCCGCGCATTTCAATTTTGACCTCTTTTAGCCGTTGTTTTTCTTTTCCTCGCCTGTAAGGGGGCGCCCCGTTCTTTCTATTTTACATTTACTCCCCCTTTTTTCTTAAGGAATAAGCCCTTGTGCATACATCGAGTGCCCCCGGTTAAATTTTTTTAGGATAAGTTTGGGTCGGTTGCGGGGTTTTTTTCCCGTTATATCGGTTAGGGCTGGTTTATTTGGGCCCATTTAGTTTTTGTTTTAAAATT